CCCCCCCCCCCCCCCCCCCCCCCGATATGTTATGGCTTGCCAGAGCTTTACCGCTGTAGGTACAAATGCAGAGTGTTTTGCACATCTTGAGTACCGTGTTTTAGAGTTTGTTTACAAGATTGCTTAAACACTGGGTAGTTTTAGTTGTTGACTTTTAAAAAAAATCCCCCCGAAGGTTGAAGATTTCTCTGTTACACCCTTAAGGCAGGGGATGATTATTTCTCTCCCATCCCATTTCAGTCACAACTCCACCGACACCGACACATGCGAGGTATGAATATTGTTTTTCACTTTTGATGACGTCACAACTACCGGCGACACATTTAAATGGCGTCACAATTGAACACGTGCTATTCGGCACGAGGCTATCTCTCCCTATGGGGTGACAAGCTGATTTTTCCCGGCTAAAACGGGGGACACACCTGTGAAGGATGGCAGAATATTGTATTCATTGTAACTATGTATAAAACAGTCAACTTTTGAAAATTAATTACTTTATCCCGTCCAAGCTTATCAGCTAGCTGTATAGTCTTTTCAGATTACATGGTACATGTAAAAGTGACAAGCTTGGTCAGCTTAACACAAGTAGATTTACATGATAGTGTACAATCCACATCTATTGCCATGCACAGACCATCCATCGATACAAATCACAAATAATCAATGATAATATTTCAAATTGCTTAATATAACGTGTAGAGTATATATCTGATTTCTGATTTCATGCCAGAGCTGAACACCTCGACCAGTTCATCTAGCCAATAAGAAATGGTGTAACACATGCTGTAAATAGGCGTGTGTGTTATTTTAAGCAGTTTTTAATAAATACAGACTTTAAAACATACGTTTTTGTTTATAACAGGAGTACCAATGAACAACAAGTACATTTTCGAGAAAATTAAACAGTTGTTTAAAACGTACAATCAGGCACCAAAGTATACTACTACAAATACATAGTAAGACCACATATGCGATACCAGGCTAAAATAGACACATGTCTATTGTCTCTGGGCTATATGTATAAAAAGTCCAGAGGGGTTTGCACGTTAGATTCGAGAAACGAGCTCAAATTAGCATTTGTATAAATGTATTTTATGTGACGGCAGTTTACAAATGTAGCAGGCCATCTTATTGTAAGTTTGAAGTGAAATAACGATTCATACAGTTATGTATTGTCTCCCCGTAATGCATTTCCTAATTGTTTCGTTAGTCCTACCATTTAAAACGTATATAACATCTTAGCCGCAAGTGTACAGCAATGCTGTGATAGCAGCAACATATTCAGTTTGTCAGTTAATCCACGTAATGCATTATAAAAGACGAGATTCAAAAGTGTTTTGATGCCGCATTTTTTCTAGAAAATGTCGTGCTTTTTGGCCTTGATCTTAAACCGTCACATTAAGTAATAAGTCACATGTAGAGGAAATAAAACGTAGAATTATGCCTAAGTCACATTTGCCACGGCGGCCGTGGAATCTAAAATATCTACGGCCAATAACAATTATAGGTCCGCCGCAGAATTTCCACGGTCACATACTATAGCAGTCACATATGTTAGGGTAGCCGCACGGTGTATTTTGAATTTGTGGATACATAAAACCTGCGGTTGCCGCACGGCATTTGAAGTGATGACGCACGGTCGCCTTAAGGCGTCCCTGCGGCGGCCGTAAGTTTTTGACAAATACCAAGGCAGACGTAAGGTTGCCGCAAGGCGACCGCACGGGGACCCTAAGTTGAATTTGTGGATACATAAAACCTCGCTACCACTACGAAAACGCAAGGCCACCGTACGCCCGACGTATGGTCGCCGTGGAACAGATTTACGGCATGGCTACGGCGTGCCTAATTGCTACGGCGAACGTAGAAATGAAAAAGGTTATAACTCCGGGTTATAATCCTACGGCGACCCCTACGGCCTGTAAAAGATATGGATACGCCCTACGGCGACCGTGAGGCCACCGCAGATTATCTGCGGTCGCCACAGGTATCTCTCGATTTCAGAGATCTACGGCCGCCGTATCCTAGCCGTAGAGCAAATGTGACTTAGGCATTAGTAACTGAAAAGGTTTATGTTTAGTAATGTTTAACTTTAAGAAATGGCAACACATACCTGTTAATCTGTATTGTGCAGGTGTATATAATATATCATGGTGTTTATTATGCCTGCCTTACAATGGATTATTACATTATGATATGTGTTACATGTACATTAGCATATAACCACAACCTAAATACAACAAATAACGAATATTGTTGGTTATGAGAACGGGATCAGATTTAGAACCACGAATCCTCTTTAAAGGTTCTGTGGAGACATCTTACAAATTCCTTTCAAATTTAAAGGCAGCACAGTAATTTTGTCACATTTACTATTTAAACTGATTTTTGGACCTCCAACCTGAAGACATGAATGTCTATAAATATCTTGATTCAGGATTCAGCGTTCCTTTAGGGCTTTCCACATGAGAGTTTTCTCCCTTTGCGCCCTCTCCAGTACCGATCGGTTCTCCATCGCTCTCCGTGATAGGTAGGCGAGTGTGTCCTCCACAGAACCGTACGGTATTGACTTGTACACTGGCATCTTCATCTCACCTGAAATAAATAAATTAGTGGAATTTAATGTTAAAGTCATTTGCTAATGTTTATGATTCCGGTAAATGACCTTTGTGTCATACTCGCCAACTCTCCCTTTTTAGGAAGGAGACTCACGATTTTTTACCCTTAAATTTAGTTTTTCAACCAGAGAAATAAATAAACTATTCCGTTATTCTATGATCTAATGATTTCATCTAAAATAACAACTCAAAAATGTGTCATTGTAAAGGGTTATTTTGTCTCTAGGGGGTGTATACCCACTTTTAATTGATGTTTTAATTTTGAGAGTGCAGAATCTCCCCTTTGGAAATTTCAAAAACTTGGCAAGTAAGGTGTGTGAGCATATATTTTGTCAAATAAATTCCTATAGATACTTGATTATAAAGAAAATCAGAATTAAAATTTGAAAAGTATATATTATCTCCATGTTTTGAATCTAGTGCAATGAACGAGAACTCTGTTTCATTCCGATGATATACATGTATAATGTATAGTTGATAATATGCGTTTTCAATGTATTCAATGTGACGGAGGTTTAGCAGGCTACTCTACTGTTGTACTGTAGGTTTGGAAGTGTAGTAACGATAATATACAATAATGCATTGTCTCCCCTTGTTTGTTTCATTAGTCCTACTATTTAAAACGTATATCACATACTGGTCGCAATGTTGTGTTTACATGCTGTACACAGCAGTACAGTGATGTGATGTACATACTGGAGCCACCTGCACAGTTCATTTTCATATTTCAAATACAAAGTGCTAAACGTTCATTTATTTTGATTTTTTCTAACTTACATTAACATATTTTCATAGTTAACATCGCGTTAAACTAATATACAACACAAATACTACCTACATTGCATTTGCATTTTAGTTTGCTTATTTACATTATAGAATTTGTTTTGTTTTATGTACACGTCTACAGTATTTACATCACATATTCGTATATATCATTAACATTACTATGCTTTAAAACTAAGAAAAATATTAAGAAACATGCAATGTATGTTTTTTACATTATAGTAGTACAATATACGTGAATATGTAAATATGATAACGATCAACGTTCTGTTTAAATGTAAATGTAAGTGCTTCATAATTTATGTTTGAGTGGCAATATTTTAACTTATTAGCAAAGGGTGATATTACTGTAATATGTAGTAATACTAGTATCTTACTTAGCGTGAATGTCACGTGTTCACACATCCCAAACAGCTGTCCGAAGAAGACGGAGCCACCTTTAGGATTGATCTGTAAGTCTTTAATCCTGTATCAATAAAACAACTTATACGGTAAAAACACACAAAGATAAAAAATAAAAACAGCTTTTTAATATCTCTTATCAAGAGTTAGCAAATATAATTATTTATAACCATTTTTTTTGAAAAATTTGCATTTTCTTTGTGCAGTCCTTAGATAAACCTAACAATCAAAACGTTGTCATAATCCAATGAAAGCGAGAACTGTTACACGTGACTGTTTTCCAAATCGGAAACTATTCGATTCTTTCCGTCATACTGTTTGAGTAATCGGAGACCAATCACAACGTGACGTCGAATTCAAATTATAACGGAAATTCTCGAATTGTTTTCGATTGACGTTCGATTCGGTAACAAAATAGCTATCCCGCCATTTGGTAAAATAAATTATACAAATATGTTTTAATCCTAGTAAGACCACAGGGTACGATACAATATAATGTTTTTTTGCGTTAATATAACTATTGAAATTAACGTTAAATTCACATGTGGGAGATATTTTAAACACAACATATCAATAATTCTTATTATTTATGTCTACTTCTTAGGTAAATACAAACATAAACAACTTTAAAATATGATTAAGAACACAAAAGGTTTTTCCTTTTCATATTATTGTAGCAGGATTCACTTTTATATAGATCTGGTGTTTCAAATCGACTGATATTTTTACCACTTTGACTAAAATATTCAAATCTGCTACTATATGTTGTGTGCTTTAGAAATAATGCGTCATCTTGCAAGGACAAACTAGGAGATCAAAGTGAGTGGAACAACACACGCATGTACCTGTTATATAGGGGAACAACACACGCATGTACCTGTTATATAGGGGAGCAACACACGCATGTACCTGTTATATAGGGGAACAACACACGCATGTACCTGTTATATAGGGGAACAACACACGCATGTACCTGTTATATAGGGGAACAACACACGCATGTACCTGTTATATAGGGGAACAACACACGCATGTACCTGTTATATAGGGGAACAACACACGCATGTACCTGTTATATAGGGGAACAACACACGCATGTACCTGTTATATAGGGGAACAACACACGCATGTACCTGTTATATAGGGGAACAACACACGCATGTACCTGTTATATAGGGGAACAACACACGCATGTACCTGTTATATAGGGGAACAACACACGCATGTACCTGTTATATAGGGGAACAACACACGCATGTACCTGTTATATAGGGGAACAACACACGCATGTACCTGTTATATAGGGGAACAACACACGCATGTACCTGTTATATAGGGGAACAACACACGCATGTACCTGTTATATAGGGGAACAACACACGCATGTACCTGTTATATAGGGGAACAACACACGCATGTACCTGTTATATAGGGGAACAACACACGCATGTACCTGTTATATAGGGGAACAACACACGCATGTACCTGTTATATAGGGGAACAACACACGCATGTACCTGTTATATAGGGGAACAACACACGCATGTACCTGTTATATAGGGGAACAACACACGCATGTACCTGTTATATAGGGGAACAACACACGCATGTACCTGTTATATAGGGGAACAACACACGCATGTACCTGTTATATAGGGGAACAACACACGCATGTACCTGTTATATAGGGGAACAACACACGCATGTACCTGTTATATAGGGGAACAACACACGCATGTACCTGTTATATAGGGGAACAACACACGCATGTACCTGTTATATAGGGGAACAACACACGCATGTACCTGTTATATAGGGGAACAACACACGCATGTACCTGTTATATAGGGGAACAACACACGCATGTACCTGTTATATAGGGGAACAACACACGCATGTACCTGTTATATAGGGGAACAACACACGCATGTACCTGTTATATAGGGGAACAACACACGCATGTACCTGTTATATAGGGGAACAACACACGCATGTACCTGTTATATAGGGGAACAACACACGCATGTACCTGTTATATAGGGGAACAACACACGCATGTACCTGTTATATAGGGGAACAACACACGCATGTACCTGTTATATAGGGGAACAACACACGCATGTACCTGTTATATAGGGGAACAACACACGCATGTACCTGTTATATAGGGGAACAACACACGCATGTACCTGTTATATAGGGGAACAACACACGCATGTACCTGTTATATAGGGGAACAACACACGCATGTACCTGTTATATAGGGGAACAACACACGCATGTACCTGTTATATAGGGGAACAACACACGCATGTACCTGTTATATAGGGGAACAACACACGCATGTACCTGTTATATAGGGGAACAACACACGCATGTACCTGTTATATAGGGGAACAACACACGCATGTACCTGTTATATAGGGGAACAACACACGCATGTACCTGTTATATAGGGGAACAACACACGCATGTACCTGTTATATAGGGGAACAACACACGCATGTACCTGTTATATAGGGGAACAACACACGCATGTACCTGTTATATAGGGGAACAACACACGCATGTACCTGTTATATAGGGGAACAACACACGCATGTACCTGTTATATAGGGGAACAACACACGCATGTACCTGTTATATAGGGGAACAACACACGCATGTACCTGTTATATAGGGGAACAACACACGCATGTACCTGTTATATAGGGGAACAACACACGCATGTACCTGTTATATAGGGGAACAACACACGCATGTACCTGTTATATAGGGGAACAACACACGCATGTACCTGTTATATAGGGGAACAACACACGCATGTACCTGTTATATAGGGGAACAACACACGCATGTACCTGTTATATAGGGGAACAACACACGCATGTACCTGTTATATAGGGGAACAACACACGCATGTACCTGTTATATAGGGGAACAACACACGCATGTACCTGTTATATAGGGGAACAACACACGCATGTACCTGTTATATAGGGGAACAACACACGCATGTACCTGTTATATAGGGGAACAACACACGCATGTACCTGTTATATAGGGGAACAACACACGCATGTACCTGTTATATAGGGGAACAACACACGCATGTACCTGTTATATAGGGGAACAACACACGCATGTACCTGTTATATAGGGGAACAACACACGCATGTACCTGTTATATAGGGGAACAACACACGCATGTACCTGTTATATAGGGGAACAACACACGCATGTACCTGTTATATAGGGGAACAACACACGCATGTACCTGTTATATAGGGGAACAACACACGCATGTACCTGTTATATAGGGGAACAACACACGCATGTACCTGTTATATAGGGGAACAACACACGCATGTACCTGTTATATAGGGGAACAACACACGCATGTACCTGTTATATAGGGGAACAACACACGCATGTACCTGTTATATAGGGGAACAACACACGCATGTACCTGTTATATAGGGGAACAACACACGCATGTACCTGTTATATAGGGGAACAACACACGCATGTACCTGTTATATAGGGGAACAACACACGCATGTACCTGTTATATAGGGGAACAACACACGCATGTACCTGTTATATAGGGGAACAACACACGCATGTACCTGTTATATAGGGGAACAACACACGCATGTACCTGTTATATAGGGGAACAACACACGCATGTACCTGTTATATAGGGGAACAACACACGCATGTACCTGTTATATAGGGGAACAACACACGCATGTACCTGTTATATAGGGGAACAACACACGCATGTACCTGTTATATAGGGGAACAACACACGCATGTACCTGTTATATAGGGGAACAACACACGCATGTACCTGTTATATAGGGGAACAACACACGCATGTACCTGTTATATAGGGGAACAACACACGCATGTACCTGTTATATAGGGGAACAACACACGCATGTACCTGTTATATAGGGGACATCAGACTGAATGTGTAGATAACCATTTATAATCCTGTTTGAAATTATTATAATTATCGTGTATAAACTACGTCAACAAAAGTTTGTAATATGTCTACTTCCGCTGGTATTGTCTCATTAGTTTAACATAGTTGATATATGGGTGATCGGGTGGTGCAGTGGATACCGCACTTACTGCCTTTCACCAAGGCGGCTGGGGTTCGATTCCCTGATCGGACGTGAAAAGGTATGGGGTCACCTGCCCGACCACGTTGATTTTCTCCGGGTAATTCGGTTTCCTCCCACAATAAGACCCCCGTGCGCTAACATTCGGGCCAACAAGTGTACTTAAATATAAGTTGAAATAACTTGTTTCATAATTGTTGTTAAATAAATAAAGTTTATATTTAGTTGATATTATGTTTCAATAATCATTATGTAGTTAGGTGTTCTGTATATTTGTTTGTTTGATGCGACACTTCTAATAAAACGAGTTAAATAACGGCGTTATTTAATTGGTATTGAATCATTAATTTATTGAAATGGGCAGATGTGTTACGCATGTGGTATTTCAAAATATTAGACTGACTAAAATGGAACTATAATGCAAAATGGATGTCATATTTTGGTAGCGCTATTCCCCTCTTGAAAATGTAAGTGTGTTCTGGCTACATGTTAATGCTTTGCAAAATTATAGCATTAGAATGAATTAAATTCTCGTCACATGGCTCTAATTGTAAACCTAAATGTTAACGTTATGAAGAGGTTTGGCATTACATCGAAGCAGAGCTATTTGAATGCATCGCTAAAAAAGGAAAGGGTCTCTTTTTCATTTTTTAATGTTTATTGTATTTATCTATATCAATATTTATTTCCCCCTCTCCTTCTTTTATCAATCTGTCGCGTTTAAGGTCCTCGCAACAGCCAGTGCCATATGAATATCAGGGAAAGTAAGTATTGGAATAGGTTCGCAGTAGTTGATGTGCCAATGAATCGGGGGGATTTACATATGTATATCGAGGTAATAATGTATATATCTAGCTAGGTTTGACATAAAAATGTGTTGAACAAATATGATTCTTCTGAAATCATGAAGCAAATTCGGTTTCTGCTCAAACAATTGTATTTTACGAAACGAACCTTTTGACAGCTTTAGACACAGTAGTCTCGTTGTGACTGGCAATAATGGCGGATGACCTTTCCGGGTTTTTGGCAATGCTATCTAGCATGACGTTCATGGATCTATGGTAGGTGTCTGACGTAGCCTGGTGGCAGGGGTTTGTAGGGTCGGGGTACCCTGCCTCTCGGGCGAGACGCCTCTCCTTGTCGATGTAAGCTCCACGGACTAGTTTAGTGCCGAACCCGACTCCATGACTGTGTATGTAAGTCATGTCTGTTTTCATATAGTCATCCATCCCCTGATTCAGGAGAAGGGGATCGTTTAATAATGTTTACGTATATTAAATGTAGTATCTTAAATTGTATCATATACAGAAATAATAAAAGCTAACTGATCACACTCAATGTTTATAAGATTTATTTCATCCGTGATACTTAGTCAAACGACCAGGATTGATTTAGATGAAATACAAACTATGTACAGATTACATGCAGATTTACATAACCCGTCATCCTTCTTAGTACAGCTATACTCTTGTAAAACATATGTCACCTACAGAAATACTCCAGGACAACATCAGATCATTTGATGTACAAATGAACAGGCAGTGGAACGTAACCTTAAGTACGTTTTTTTTAAATCTAATTATAAACTGCAAAGATTTCTTGCTTCAATTTTATCTTTCGTCTTTGATGACCACAAGAAAACCAGCGATGCCAAATATTTAAATGATATTTCACTTGATATTTGAGAAGACAACGTAATGTACATGTACATATGAATACTGTATCACAACTTGGAAGGTTGATGTGTGATACACGCACGAGTTACCTCCCGTCAAATTATCAAATTAATTACACGTTATCTTTTCGCTGTAATCATAGATTTTTTCAATGTCAATTCGTCTGTCATTTGTTTCAAGCAATTGTATGGGTATATAGTTACATGTATAACCACAAACTTAGAAACTGACTTTTATATATTCAAAGATATTTCTTTTTTCGTCAGTAATTTCACTGTGGGCAGCTCTTTTAAATGTAGTATACATATGGCAAAGTTCTCTCATTCCATACTAACTAAGAGCTGGTTGTGGTACATATAGGTATGGCACCTATATGTGAATCCTAATTATACTCGTTTTGGTCTGGTTGTTAATGTAGCGACTCGACCGTACATACCTGGAGATAGTTCTGGAAGGTGTGTCTCGACCGTACCTACCGTAGGATAGCTCTGGTAGGTGTGTCTCGACCGTACGTACCTGAAGATAGTTCTGGTAGGTGTGTCTCGACCGTACATACCTGGAGATAGCTCTGGTAGGTGTGTCTCGACCGTACCTACCGTAGGATAGCTCTGGTAGGTGTGTCTCGACCGTACTTACCTGGAGATAGTTCTGGTAGGTGTGTCCCGACTGTACTTACCTGGAGATAGTTCTGGTAGGCGTGTCGCGACCGTACCTACCGTAGGATAGCTCTGGTAGGTGTGTCTCGACCGTACGTACCTGAAGATAGTTCTGGTAGGTGTGTCTCGACCGTACATACCGTAGGATAGCTCTGGTAGGTGTGTCTCGACTGTACTTACCTGAAAATAGTTCTGGTAGGTGTGTCTCGACCGTGGAGATAGTCCTGGTAGGTGTGTCGCGACCGTACGTACCTGAAGATAGTTCTGGTAGGTGTATCTCGACCGTGGATATAGTTGTGGTAGGCGTGTCCCGACCGTACGTACCTGGAGATAGTTCTGGTAGGTGTGTCTCGACTGTACGTACCTGGAGATAGTTCTGGTAGGTGTGTCTCGACCGTGGAGATAGTCCTGGTAGGTGTGTCGCGACCGTACGTACCTGGAGATAGTTCTGGTAGGTGTGTCTCGACCGT